GGTCATCCCTGACAACCATGGGGCCCCGGGCTCTGGGGATCATGGGGCCCCTGTACCAAACTCCGCCTATGTCTCTGGGGCATCCCCTGTACCCCGTCCCTCGGGCAGTCCCGAGTTTCCAAATGGTCTGGTCATCCCCTGTCTTGTCACCCCTGTCCGCCGTCAGTCCCTGGTCATCCCCTGTACCATGTCCGCCGTCTCTGGTCATCCCCGTACCATGTTTGCCGTCTCTGGTCATCCCCTGTGTCCGCAGTCTCTGGTCATCTCCCGTAGAATGTGCAGTCTCTGGTCATCCCCTGTACCGTGTGTCCGCCGTCTCTGGTCATTTCCTGTACTATGTCCGCCGTCTCTGGTCATTTCCTGTACTATGTCCGCAGTCTCTGGTCATCTCCTGTACTATGTCCGCAGTCTCTGGTCATTCCTGTACTGTGTCCGCAGTCTCTGGTCATCTCTCGTAGAATGTTTGCAGTCTCTGGTCATTCCTGTACTGTGTCTGCAGTCTCTGGTCATCTCTCTGTACTATGTCTGCAGTCTCTGGTCATCTCCTGTACCATGTCTGCAGTCTCTGGTCATCTCCTGTACTACTGTATGTCCACAGTCTCTGGTCATCTCCCGTACTATGTCTGCAGTCTCTGGTCATTTCCTGTACTATGTCTGCAGTCTCTGGTCATTTCCTGTACTATGCCTGCAGTCTCTGGTCATTTCCTGTACTATGTCTGCAGTCCATTGGTTCAAAATATTTTTTTTTTTTTCGTCCTCTAAAACCTAGGTGCGTCTTATGGAGTGAAAAATACGGTATTATAATACCAAATGCAACATTCAATGCAAATGACTTTACATCCACCTTGTGAACCTTTTATTTTTTAATGAATAGAATATGTTAGTGCACACAAATGGTTTGTTTATCTTTTACACAGTAATGCTTTACCTTCATTTCCTTATTAAATAACAAGAGAAATGCTAAATCTTGGGTACACACCCTTTGGTCAATACATTCCTATCTTCAACCACCTGGCATGTTTCCTACAAAGTGTCTTATTTACATTGTAAGGTGTATGGATCAAATCAGAAACAAAACGTGTTTGGGTTAACTTGGATCTTTTCTTTGTAACAACAGTGCGTGACAAAGAAGCACTCCCACCTTCTGATGACTGAACATCAGGGGTGGACTGACAACTCAAGGGGCCCCCAGGCAATAGGGGGTCATGGGGCCCCTGTGTCCTTGCCCAAACTCAAAAAAGCCTATGAAAAAAGTACCAGGGGTATCTCATGGGGCCCCCTACTGACCCCAGGCCTTTGGGGAGTGCCCGTTTCCAAATGGTCAGTCCGCCTCTGCTGAACGTGGATCTATGATGGTTCACACCAGCAATGCCAGGATTGTTTAATTCAGAACACATTACATTTTGTGTTAGTGTTTTATTTTATACTTGTATTGATTGCAAGGTTGGGGGTCATTCACACCGGTAATGTGCAGGCAGCTTCTCTATCCTGATGTGGTGCAGAATTCGCATCAGTTTCTGTGCGAATTCAGCACCGCACCATAATAGCACCCTGTTCATGCGAACCGCTGCGGGTATGTATGTTAACAACACACAAATCTGTTCGCAAAACGCGGTGCAATGTGCAGAATCGGATTGCATGGGTGTGAATACCCATGTGATTCGATTCTCCTGCAGACAAAAAAAGGATCCTGCACCTTTTTGGTGCTGATATGGTGCAATTTGAGCCATACAAAATGTATGGCTCAAATTGCACCGCACAGAATCCGGATGTGATTTGCACAGGAATGCGGTATGCTTCCTGTGCAAATCACATGCAATGTTCCACACCGCAGAAGTGTGAACCCGGGCTCAGTCTAGGTTCACACCTATGTGTTTTCCGCTGCATTTTGCAGAAACGCACAGCTGTCCATTTAACATGATTTCCTATGGGACAGGTTCACATCTCCGCATTTTCACCCTATGCGTTTTTTGGAAAGGGTCAGGGACTTTTTTTGAATGCAAAACGTTGTGTATTTGATTCTATATACTTCAATGGAGACGCTGCAGAAAAGCATGTAGTGTGTTTTTGATGCATTTCGCCTTTTAGTCTGCCCAGCAACAAGCTGAATAAATGCGAAACGCATCAAAACACGTCAAAAATGCCCGTGCAAAAATGCAAAACACACCACAAAAAGCACTGCAGAAATGGATCAAACACAAACTGCATAGGTGTGAACCAAGCCTAAGTCTAGATTCACACCTATGTGTTTTCCAGAAACGCACAGCAGTCCATTTAACATGATTTCCAATGGGACAGGTTCACATCTCTGTGTATTCACCCGGTGTGTTTTTTGAGAAGGGTCAGAGACTTTTTTAAATGCAAAACATTGCGTTTTTGGTTCTATAGACTTAAATGGAGACGCTGCAGAAAAGCATGTAGTGCGTTTTTGATGCATTTTGCATTTTATTCTCCCCAGCAACAAGTTAAAAAAAAAAAAAAAAAACAGAAAAAGGTATCATAATTGAGGCAAAAAAGCATGTGAAAAAATGCAAAACGCACCACAAAAAGCACTGCAGAAATGGATCAAACACAAACTGCATAGGTGTGAACCTAGCCTAAGTCTAGGTTCACACCTATGTGTTTTCCAGAAATGCACAGCAGTCCATTTAACATGATTTCCAATGGGACAGGTTCACATCTCTGTGTTTTCACCCCGGTGTGTTTTCTGAGAAGGGTCAGAGACTTTTTTAAATGCAATACGTTGCATTTTTGGTTCTATAGACTTAAATAGAGACGCTGCAGAAAAGCATGTAGTGCGTTTTTGATGCATTTTGCGTTTTATTCTGCCCAGCAACAAGTTAAAAAAAAAAAAAAAAACAGAAAAAGGTATCATAATTGTGGCAAAAAAGCATATGCAAAAATGCAAAACACACCGCAAAAAGCACTGCAGAAATGGATCAAACGCAAACTGCATAGGTGTGAACCGAGCCTAATTGCAGGTACCAGTTTGGATATGCAGTTATATGCCAACAGCCACAATGCGTGTCATTAATGTACTGGCTGCTGGTCGCAGACACCTGTGTATATCCACGGCAGGGAAAAGATCATTCTTGGTGGTGCACGGTGCATATAAGGCATGTGAATGAGCCCCTATAATATTGTGTATAAGCAGACATTTCAGCACGCTGATGACAAACTCTTCTCATTGAATGAATTGCGGCCTTTCAGGATCTCCTACCAGATTTGGCTGATGGATGTTAATTCTGGGGGAAGAAAATGTATTACTGCTTGCTGATCAGATAAAATATTGAACTGTCATCAGATAAAGCACAGCAACTGCATTATTCACAGTCTAGTCATTCCACCAATAGAAACTCAGGTTACCAATTGTAAAGGTATGTTCCAGACCGGGGCACTGGGGTACCTGCAGGTGTATAATGTAACCAGGGCATGTTTTCAGCAGGAACACGGGGGAACGCAGTTCCGTCACCTCCAGCACTGAATGTAGGCAAAGGTTATGGAGCGTCTATTGCTACTGGCTGCTAGGGGATCTAATATTGCCCGGGGAGGTCTATTGTTGCTGTGGTGGTCAGAAGTTACTGGGAGGGTGTCTATTGTTGCTGGAGGGTTTATTGTTACAGGCTGCTAGGGGATCTAATATCGGCCGGGGAGGTCTATTGTTGCTGTGGTGGTCAGAAGTTACTGGGAGGGTGTCTATTGTTGCTGGAGGGTCTATTGTTACAGGCTGCAAGAGGATCTAATATTGCCCGGGGAGGTCTATTGTTGCTTTGGTGGTCAAAAGTTACTAGGAGGGTGTCTATTGTTGCTGGAGGGTCTATTGCTACAGGCTGCTAGGGGATCTATTATTGCCCGGGGAGGTCTGTTGTTGCTGTGGTGGTCAGGTGTTACTGGGAGGGTGTCTATTGTTGCTGGAGGGTCTATTGTTACAGGCTGCTAGGGGATCTATTATTGCCCGGGGAGGTCTGTTGTTGCTGTGGTGGTCAGGTGTTACTGGGAGGGTGTCTATTGTTGCTGGAGGGTCTATTGTTACAGGCTGCTAGGGGATTCATTATTGCCCGGGTTGGTCTGTTGTTGCTGTGGGGGTCAGGTGTTACTGGGAGGGTGTCTATTGTTGCTGGAGGGTCTATTGATACAGTACTGACTCCTGGGAGATCTATTGTTGCTGGTGGGGGTCCAATGTTGCTGGGAGATCTGTTACTGGAGGGGGGTTCTATTGTTTCTGGCAGTGGGGCCTATAGTTGCCCTGGGGGGGGGGGGTGCTGGGGCGGGTAATTTGTTGTCATAGAGTCTATTAGTGCTGTAAGGGGGATCTATGGTTGCTGGCTACTTCACTGCTTTTCTTGTTATCATTAACAAATTCATAGAAATTTCACAGCACCGCAAAATGATACTTGATTCTGTATTCTGTAAAAGGGGTAGATAGGGAAGAAACCAAGAAATGATGCTCAAAGGTGGGTGGGGGGCACGGACAAGGGGTGACTCAGAAGGGGTGGGGGAGTACCTGCACCTATTCTCTGAGAAAAAAAGCCCTGCATGTAGCCATCTGGTCCGCTTATAAAATCACATCGGTCTTTACAAAGATGGACCCATCTCTCAGCTTCCATGACTGATCACCTGATAACTCATTGAGGGATTGTTAGTGATTGATCCCGAAAAAAAATATTTTGAGGATAGTAAAAATCCACTAGCAGGGGCGGACTGACAACTCATGGGGCCCCCAGGAAATAGGGGATTATGGGGCCCATGTCCTTGCCCAAACTCAAAAAAGCCAATGAAAAAGGTACCAGGGGCATCTCATGGGGCCCCCTACTGACCCCGGGCCCTCGGGCAGTGCCTGAGTTTCCAAATGGTCAGTCCGCCCCTGTCCACTAGTATTGTTGCCAAGTGGTGTTTATTTTAACCCTTTATTAATTGGGATAAGAAACACCTGCAGTATATTGTGAACAAAATTCAGAGTACAGAAACTTCTACAATATATTGTAACCATAGACCACTGAATCTCGCAATCTGTATCCATGGATCACGAGGGAAATCCAACTTGTGTTACCATCGGGCTGGAGTGCTCTATGGATAGAATTAGTGATACACTGATATATCGGCTGCCGAAAATTACTATTGGCTGATAATAGGGTTTTTGGCGTTTTGATATAAAAAAACAAAAGTGCTGACAAAGATGGTTAACTTCAGTGCAAAATCGTGTCCCATTGACTTTAATGCAAAATTACATCCCATTAACGTCAATGCAAAATCACATCCTATTGCTTTCAATGCAAAAAAAAAAAACCTATTGACTTCAATGCAAAATCGCATCCCATTCACTTCAATTCAAAATTGTGTCCCACTGACTTCAATGCAAAAACACCACCTTTTGAATTCAATGCAAAATCGCGTCCCACTGACTTCAATGCAAAATCGCGCCCCACTGACTTCAATGCAAAAACCGCCTCTGTTCAAGTTTTTTAATTTTATATATATTTCATTTTATTGCTAATTATTGTGTGTTACTTTCAATAAAAGTTTTTACGTCACTGGATTGTATTTTTTAAACTTATTTTCATTTAAATTCATGATATTAATTAAAAAGTCGAATATAATACAATTATGTAAAAAACATATTATTAAAAAAACTCCACTTTAGTTTTGGTTTTTGGCCAATTGCATCTGAATCTTCGGTTTCGGTACAGAATTTTCAGTTCTGTGCACTACTAGATATAATGTCCCCATCATCAGTATATGAGCTTCAGGTGCTGCTTACAGACTGCTGTGTAGTTTAGGAGTTCTTGGTGCCCACAGATGGGTATAAGACCAGGGGCGGACTGACCATTTGGAAACTCGGGCACTGCCTGAGGGCCCGGGGTCAGTAGGGGGCCCCATGAGATGCCCCTGGTACCTTTTTCATAGGCTTTTTTGAGTTTGGGCAAGGACACAGGGGCCCCATGATCCCCTATTGCCCGGGGGCCCCATGAGTTGTCAGTCCGCCCCTGTATAAGACCTTTTCCACACGGGACCTACGTGGATCAGCATGGCTACTCTTACCTACAGCAAACTTTAACATTACCTATGTCGTGCACCACTCCCTTCATTTCATTTGCATTCTGTAGGAAATTACACAAGAGAAAGCTTCGAGCCAGACATGCCCTGAGGACATCACGTATGTACAAAATGTAGTTTCACTGCCAGCAATTGTGATTTCCTGCCATTACCAAAGAATACCGAATATGAATCAATAGAATTTTAGGGTACTCAGGGATTACAAATAAAACATTTTTATAAAACTTCTACTTCCATATCTATCACATAAAAATACTCCAATACATATCAAACCCTCTTCATGAAGGATCTCCATAACTAATATGTTACACTATTATCTTCAAACTTAAAGTGGAACATCACCCAAAAAGGAAAGTTCCTCTTTTCTGCCAACAAACCCCCCCCCATTTTTGGGCTAATGTTTTTTCAGGAGAGCAGGTACCTAGTTTTGTTAGTGTCGACAGGGGAACCCCTCCTGCCAAGCCATAGTGTTCTCCCGGCAAGGTGCGTGGGAAGCCGTCCCCGCTGGGATAACACAGTGATTATTGCTAGCGGCTATAACCGCTTCCCGACCGCCCTATAGTAGAAATACTGCTACAGGGTGGCATGGCTGCGCAAAATCATGTGTATATACGTGATTTTGTAATTCCGGGTTGGGGGTGCGTGTGCCCTACCCGCACCACCATTCGTGGCAACGGCTGACAATCACCGGGTCCCGGCCGGTGATTACTCGCCAGCGCCTGATGATTTCCAAGGATCTCCGACGGGGAGGAGAACTGTTTTGTTTATTAACAGTTCTCCTCCCTGTCAGCTCGGGAACACTGCTTTGGATGGCTGTGCACAGCACAGTCATCCAAAGCAGTGTGAATACAGTGAAGCACACTGACATCGCCCCCTAGTGAAACACTACCAGCACACAGTTAACTCTTTGATCACCCCTCATGTTAATATATACACACAGCCATTTTTAAACGCTATAACTTTCACGTAAACCAATTAATTTACACGTATTGGGATTATTTTTTTAGCAATGACATGTTGCAGAATACATTTTGGCCTAAATTTATGACGAAATTAGATTTTTTAAAATTTTTTTACTGGACATGTTTAATAGCAAAAAGTCAAAAATATTGTTTTTTTTTCTCAAAATTGTCGTCTTTTTTGAAATTTTTTTTATAGCGCAAAAAAATAAAAAACACACAGGTGATCAAATACCAATGAAAGAAAAAAAGGGTGTAAGTTTAATTTGGGTGCAGCGTTGGATGACCTGTCAGTTACAGTAACGCAGCGCCGTAACACAAAAAATGGCCTGGTCAGGTAGGGGGGTAAATTCTCAGGAGGGTAAGTGGTTAGAAGCTACTAACGATAATTGTAGGTACAGTGCCTTGAAAAAGTATTCATACCCCTTGAAATTTTCCACATTTTGTCATGTTATAACCAAAAACGTAAATGTATTTTATTGGGATTTTATGTGATAGACCAACACAAAGTGGCACATAATTGTGGAAGGAAAATGATAAACGGTTTTCAAAATTTGTTTATAATAAATATCTGGAAAGTGTGGGTCTGCATTTGTATTCCGCCCCCTTTACTCTGATACCCCTAACTAAAATCTAGTGGAACCAAATGCCTTCAGAAGTCACCTAATTAGTAAATAGAGTCCACCTGTGTAATTTAATTTCAGTATAAATACAGATGTTCTGTGGAGCCCTCAGAGGTTTGTTTGAGAACATTAGTGAACAAACAGCATCATGAAGGCCAAGGAACACACCAGACAGGTCGGGGATGAAGTTGTGGAGAAGTTTAAAGCAGGGTTAGGTTATAAAAAAATATCCCATGCTTTGACCATCTCACGGAGCACTGTTCAATCCATCATCCGAAAATGGAAAGAGTATGGCACAACTGCAAACCTACCAAGACATGGCCGTCCACCTAAACTGACAGGCCGGGCAAGGAGAGCATTCATCAGAGAAGCAGCCAAGAGGCCCATGGGAACTCTGGAGGAGCTGCAGAGATCCACAGCTCAGGTGGGAGACTCTGTCCACAGGACAACTATTAGTCGTGCACTCCAAAAATCTGGCCTTTATGGAAGAGTGGCAAGAAGAAAGCCATTGTTGAAAGAAAGCCATAAGAAGTCCCGTTTGCAGTTTGTGAGAAGCCATGTGGGGGACACAGCAACATGGAAGAAGGTGCTCTGGTCAGATGAGATCATAATTGAACGTTTTGGCCTAAAAGCAAAAGGCTGTGTGTGGCAGAAAACCAACACTGCACATCACCCTGAACACACACCATCCCACTGTGAAACATGGTGGTGGCTGCATCATGTTGTGGGGATGATTTTCTTCAGCAGGGACAGGGAAGCTGGTCAGAGTTGATGCGAAGATGGATGGAGCCAAATACAGGGCAATCTTAGAGAAAACCTGTTAGAGTCTGCAAAAGACTTGAGCAGAGGTTCACCTTCCAGCAGGACAACGACCCGACACATCCAGCCAGAGATACAATGGAATGGTGTAGACTAGAGCAAAGCATATTCATGTTAGAATGGCCCAGTCACAGTCCAGACCTAAATCCAATGGAGAATCTGTGGCAAGACTTGACAATTGCTGTTCACAGACGCTCTCCATCCAATCTGACAGAGCTTGAACTATTTTGTAAAGAAGAATGGGCAAAAATTTCACTCTCTGGATGTGCAAAGCTGGGAGAGACATCTCCAAAAAGACTTGCAGCTGGAATTGCAGCAAAAGGTGGTCCTACAAAGTATTGACTCAGGGGGGCTGAATACAAATGCCACCACACTTTTCACATATTTGTGAAAAAAAAAATTGAAAACCATTATAGTGAGCAGCTCTATACAGCCTGGAGGACTACAAGTACCAACTGCACTGGGGATCCTATCTGATCAGCCTAGAAATGAACAGGTGGTCTGTTTCCATCCGACCGCCGATAGAGGACATCGGGCTGTGTCTGTGTCCTCTCTGCAGCAGTGGAGCGGACATGGACCTGTCATCTGCTTGCTCAACGGTGATCAGCTTAGCGGGGAACGGAGAGATCCCCCGCTGAGCAAGCAGATCTGCTGATAGGTCCACCCCTGTGAAAGGGGCCTTAATCTCTCGCTTTTATCTATCTATATATATATACACAGGTGAAACTCAAAAAATTTGAATATCGTGCAAAAGTTAATTTATTTCAGTAATGCAACTTAAAAGGTGAAACTAATATATGAGATGGACTCATTACATGCAAAGCAAAATAGTTCAAGCCGTGATTTGTCATCATTGTGATGATTATGGCTTACAGCTCATGAAAACCCCAAATCCACAATCTCAGAAAATGAGAATATTACATGCAATCAATAAAACAAGATTGTACATAGAACAATATTGGACCTCTGAAAAGTATAAGCATGCATTTGCACTCAGTACTTGGTTTGGGCCCCTTTTGCAGCAATTACTGTCTAAATGCGGCGTGGCATGGAAGCTATCAGCCTGTGGCACTGCTGAGGTGTTATGGAAGACCAGGATGCTTCAATAGCGGCTTCAGCTCTTCTGCATTGTTCGGTCTCATGTCTCTCATCTTTCTCTTGGTAATGCCCCATAGATTCTTTATGGGGTTCAGGTCAGGCGAGTTTGCTGGCCAATCAAGCACAGTAATCCCACGGTCATTGAACCAGGTTTTGGTGCTTTTGGCAGTGTGGGCAGGTGCCAAGTCCTGCTGGACAATGAAGTCAGCATCCCCATAAAGCTCGTCTGTGGAAGGAAGCATGAAGTGCTCCAAAATCTCCTGGTAGACGGCTGCGTGCGTTGACCCTGGACTTAATGAAGCAGTGGACCAACACCAGCAGATGACATGGCTCCCCAAATCAACACAGACTGTGGAAACTTCACACTGGACTTCAAACATCTTGCAGTGTGTGTGCCTCTCCATTCTTCCTCCATACACGGGGTCCTTGTGCCTCTCCATTCTTCCTCCATACTCGGGGTCCTTGGGCCTCTCCATTCTTCCTCCATACTCTGGGTCCTTGGGCCTCTCCATTCTTCCTCCATACTCTGGGTCCTTGGTTTCCAAATGAGATGCAAAAGTTGCTCTCATCAGAAAAGAGGACTTTGGACCACTGATCAACAGGCCAGGTCTGGTTTTTTTTAGCCCTGGTAAGACGCTTCTGACATTGTTTGTTGTTCAGGAGCGGCTTGACAAGAGGAATACGACATTTGAAGCCCATGTCCAGGATCCGTCTGTGTGTGGAGACTCTTGATGCACTGACTCCAGCCTCAGTCCACTCCTTGTGAAAGTCCCCAACACTTTTTGAATGGCCTTTTCCTGATAATCCTCTCCACGCTGCGGTCATCCCTGCTGCTTGTGCACCTTTTTCTTCCAAACTTTTCCCTTCCACATAACTTTCTATTAATGTGCTTTGATACAGCACTTTGGGAACATCCAACTTCTTTTGCAATTACCTTTTGAGGCTTTCCCTCCTTATGGAGGGTGTCAATGGTGGTTTTCTGCACAACTGTCAGGTCAGCAGTCTTTCCCATGATTGTGATTCCTACTGAACCAGACTGAGAGACCATTTAAAGGCTCAGGAACTCTTTGCAGGTGTTATGACTTAATTAGTTGATTAGAGTGGGACACTTTGTGCCAAGAATATTGCACCTTTTCACAGCTCATGAAAACCCAAAATCCACAATCTCAGAAAATTAAAATATTACATGCAATCAATAAAACAAGGATTGTACATAGAACAATATCGGACCTCTGAAAAGTATAAGCATGCATATGTACTCAGTACTTGGTTTGGGCCCCTTTTGCAGCAATTACTGCCTCAATGCATGGAAGCTATCAGCCTTTGGCACTGCTGAGGCGTTATGGAAGACCAGGATGACATTTGAAGCCCATGTCCAGGATCCATCTGTGTGTGGTGGCTCTTGATACACTGACTCCAACCTCAGTCCACTCCTTGTGAAAGTCCCCAACACTTTTGAATGGCCTTTTCCTGACAATCCTCTCCAGGCTGCGGTCATCCCTGCTGCTTGTGCACCTTTTTCTTCCAAACTTTTCCCTTCCACATAATATTCTCATTTTCTGAGATTGTGGATTTGGGGTTTCCATGAGCTGTAAGCCATAATCATCACAATTATGACAAATCACAGCTTGAACTATCTTGCTTTGCATGTAATGAGTCTATCTCATATATTAGTTTCACCTTTTAAGTTGCATTACTGAAGTAAATGAACTTTTGCACCATATTCTAATTTTTCGAGTTTCACCTGTATATATTTCTCTCTCTCCATCCGGGTTCAAACCAATGCCATGTGGGAAACGCGAATCCTGTGCGTTTCCCACACCATATTGCAATCGCATTGCTTTCATGCGATCTGGTGCGGGTGTCAATCATAAATTAATAACACCCTGAAACAGATTGCAAAATGTGATGCAATTGCCAGAAGTCTCATCGCATGGGTGAGAACACCCATGTGATGCGATTCAGATGCGGATTTAAAAAAGGGTTCTGCACCTTTTTGGTGTGGATACGATGCAATTTGAGCCATACAAAGTGTCTAGCTCAAATCGCACCGCACAGACATTTGCCTGTAATACACACAGGAATGCTGTGCGATTCCTGTGCGAATTACATGCAATGTCCTGTACCGCATACTGTGAACCTTTATCTCTACTTTCATCTCTCTCTTGCTCCCTCAATCTTAATCTCTCGCTTTCTCTCTATCCCTCTCTCTTTACCTACTTCTCTCTCCCCTCCAATTTAGATCGGAGTGGTGCCAGATTTTAGTTTTGCCTAAGGCAGCACAAAACCAAAATACAGCACTGGGCGCAATGCATGTGGTTGCGGCACATTTGTTGGGAAAAATGGGGTTAAAACAGGCGGTTATTAAGCGACTTGTTTCCTTGCCGCTTGTCAGTAGCCTCTGAAGTCCTCTCCCAATGTGGATCAGGCTTCAGAAGTAAGGCTTCATATACACTAGCAGCTGCTAAACTCAAGTTTAGAAGCTTTTGGCATTTTTTTTTTTTGCCAAAGCTCCTAAACTCCGATCCATAAAAGCCTGCGCCCATGTACACATAGGCTTTCAGCAGAGTTTAAAGCGGAGTTCCAGCTGAAAAAAAAATAAATAAAAGTCAGCAGCTACAAAAACTGTAGCTGTTGACTTACAGCCACTTACCTGTCCCTCGGTCCAGGGGTGTCCTCATTATGGCTGGTTTCACCGTCCGGCTTCTCTCCCTGACACCGGCATCTTCAGTGTGGGCACCCGGCTGTGACAGCTTGCAGCTTCACAGCCGGATGCCCACTGCGCATGCGCGAAACAAGCTGCACTTTGTGAATGGCCCCACGTGTGTCCCAAAAGACTACTGGGGGGGGGGGGGGGGATTGGGAGGAGGACAACTTCTGCTTCCGATCGCCTAGGCAATCGCAGCAGAAGTGAGAGCGGGTACCTGTCAATTTTGGGTACCCGTTCGGCCTCGCTCCCCAAAGGTGCCAATCCTTAATGGGGAGCGGGGGACAAGGGCTTAAAGCAGAACTTCCCCTTTTGTTAGGAACTCCGCTTTAACTGCTTCCCGCCCAGCCTATGGCCAGATGGCGGCCGGCAAATCACCTTGTCCCTCCGGGTGGATGCCACATGGTGTCCTTTCAGGCATGCCTAGTTTGCATGCCCGCAGAGCCGCGATCTGTCACCGGCCGTGTACTTCGGACACGGCCGATGACAGCTCTGAGTACCGGCCCCGTTGCTGGTACCATGTGACCTGCTGTGACCAATCACAGCAGGTCACATGACAGTTGTATACAATGGATGGCTTCCTGTCATGCCATTCCTGTGATGTCATTGTATACTAGTGTGGCTAGCTGTGAATGGTCACAGCAATCACATGCGCAAGCTGGGCCAATCACAGCCCAGCTGTGTCATGTGATTAGCTGTGGCCAAATCACAGGTAAGAAAAAAAAAAACCCTGAATGAATCGATTTCATTCAGGTAAATGCTTGCTATAAGCAAATTGTGTAAAAAAAAAATATATATATATATATATATATAGATCACTTCCCCAAAGTAGTACAATGTTACTATGGTAACATTGTACTACTTTGGTCATAGAGAAATATGAAAAAAAAAAAACCTTAAACTTAAAAAAAGAGAAAACAATTTAATAAAAAAAAAAATTAAAAAAAATGTATCAATTTTTTTTTTTTTTTTCGTACTGTCACTGGTGTCCCTGATCACCGCCATGCCAGTTATATGATGATGCTGTACTGCACTGCTGAAAGTATATAAAAAAAATAGTGAAAATCATTTTTTTTTCTTATTTCCAAAAAATGACAAAAAAAAATTCCAACTTCAAAAAACTCGCCATGCCTATTAAGAAATACGTCGGACTGTCTACTTTGCAAAAAGGGGTCATTTGGGAGATATCTATACTGTCCTGACATTTGAGGGATATCTGTACCGTCCCGACATTTGGGGGATATCTGTCCTGTACTGACATTTGGGGGATATCTGTACTCTCCTGACATTTGGGGGATATCTGTACTCTCCTGTACCGTCCTGACATTTGGGGGATATCTGTACTCTCCTGACATTTGGGGGATATCTGTACCGTCCTGACATTTGGGGGATATCTGTACCGTTCTGACATTTGGGGGATATCTGTACCGTCCTGACGTTTGGGGGATCTGTACCGTCTGACGTTTGGGGGATCTGTACTTTCTGGGGGGATATCTGTACTCTCTGACATTTGGGGGATATCTGTACCGTTCTGACGTTTGGGGGATCTGTACCGTACTGACATTTGGGGGATCTGTACTCTCCTGACATTTGGGGGATCTGTACCTGACTGGGGGATATCTGACGTTTGGGGGATCTGTACCGTTCTGACATTTGGGGGATATCTGTACTCTCCTGACATTTGGGGGATAGCTGTACCGTTCTGACATTTGGGGGATATCTGGCCTGTACTGACATTTGGGGGATATCTGTACTCTCCTGACATTTGGGGGATATCTGTACCATTCTGACATTTGGGGGATATCTGTCCTGACATTCTTGGACCTCAAGAAATTAGATTGGCTGTCAGTACTTCAGGATTGATCAATATTCAGATCTATACCATAGTTTGTGAACTCTATAACTTTCCTACAAACTAAATAATACATCCTAATTTGGGTTATTTTCACCAAAGACATGTAGCAGAATACATCTCGGCCTAAATTTATGAAGAACAATTATTTATTTGTAAACTTTTATAACAGAAACAAAGAAAAATGTGATTTTTTTTTTTGAAAAATTTTTGGTCTTTGTTAATTTAGCAAAGAATAAAAACACCAGCGGTGATTAAATACCACCAAAAGAAAGCTCTAGTTGTGTGAAGAAAATGATAAAATTTTAGTTTGGGTACAATGTTGTATGATGACCGCGCAATTGTCATTCAAAGTGTGAGAGCGCTGAAACCTGAAAATCGGCCTGGGCAGGAAGGGGGTAAAAGTGCCCGGTATGGAAGAGGTTAAGAACTGCTGGGTTGGATGAGGTTAAACCTCCCTCTCCTAAACGTGAAATAATCGCGTTCAGGATAGGAACGTTTTGACCGTCGACGCAGCAAAAACGCAGTACTGTGGTTGCCGCGTTTAGTTTCCCAGCAGCCGGCGGTCAGAGTTGTGTACATGAGCCCTAAGGTGCACGGTTTAGGATGACAGTTTTGAACTTTTCTTTTTCAAATTTTCTTCTAGAAGCATTCCTGAATCCATCCAGGTGTGCTGTACCGCCAGTATTGTATTTATAATGAAACCATCCCTCCTGTACTTCATACACACGGTAGCTTTTTATAAAATAGACCTAATCAGCTTCCTCCCCTCCTTCTCTGTAACAGAACACCAGCCTCCCAAGGACACCTCCCCTCACAGGGCGCCGCCATCTTGTCTCCTAGGCGCCCACACACACAACACGCGCAGCACATTTGCCTCAAGAACAGGGCGGAGTGAACGTGGCGCGCTCCTCTTTCCATTACTCTCTCGCGAGATCGCCGCGCAGGGCTCGGCCCCTCAGCTCCCGCGAGATCTTCGGACGTCCGAAGGGTGGAACCTTCTCACTTCTCGCGAGACCCCGACGACACGGGGTTACCAACAGCGCGAGGGAGTTCGGGCGCCATTTTCTCTCTTCCCCTCACAGTGCGCGGCTGCTCGGACTCACACACGGTGCAGGCGCTGAAACATGGCCGATTACTCCACCGTCCCTCCACCAAACGCAGGCAACGCCGGTGGGGTCAACGACGCCTTTTTGGACGCGCTGCAGAGGGCGAGACAGGTGAGAAGGGAGGGCGCGAGGCCCGGGACGGGGACATGAGGGAGGGCGATGAGGGGCTCCGGGCTGGGCTAGGCCGCGGACAGGTAATGGAGGCCGAGTTCTGGAAAAGGCTCCTCACGTTTCTCCTGAGCGATGTGAGATTTCCTCTCAGAGGTTTCCCTCCATTTCCTCCTCTATGGCGGATTCTCCGATCACACCGCCTCAGGGAACTGCTATTCCCTCCACGGCGTGCTGGGCTCAGCGTGTCCATACACTCCGCGGTCTCGAATCCATTCCTACCAGGAAAAGTACTTTTATGGAAAGTCCATCGCTGGCTCTGATGGAAAGTACAGCCGCGGGCGGCCTCGCGGTACGGCACCCCCGCGGCCTCGCTGTACGGCAACCCTAACCCTCGGGGTACGGCAACCCCAATCCTCGCGGTAATGCAACGGAAGTAGAAGAGGCATGGTTCCTGGATGGAGGGCCGCTGCACAATGCAGTCTCTGCACCCCGGAGGCCCTTTGGATGCATTTCTCCCCCTCATTTCGTTTCCTTCATCTCAGTTCAGGACTTATCTCTGGTGCATTTCTAACGCGGCTTGCCGAGTTCCAGATGCATTTCGGACCAGTTCACCCCAAAAGTGTGGGAAACCCACGTTCTGTGATAGTTTTCCGCACCATAACACTGCTGTTGCGCTCCGCAATGGATGCTCGTGTTAACCGCTTGGCCTCCAGAGGATTTACACTCCTGATGGGACTTTTTTTTTTTTTTTTTTTTTGCAATACGGCGCTGCGTTACTTTGAGAATTGTGCGGTCATGCGGCGCTGTATACATGAAATTTATACCCTTTTTTCAACAACAATGGAGATTTTTTTGTGGTATTTGATCGTCTCTGCGGATTTACTTTTTGCTCTTAAGCAAAGCCAACTATTTAAAAAAATTTTTTTTTTTTACTTTTTGCTATAAAATGTGTCCAGTTAAAGAAGGTTTAAAAAGTCAAATTTCATCATAATTTTTTGCCAGAATGTATTCTGCTACATGTCTGCAAAAAAAAAATCCCAATAGGTGTAAATTAACCTCTTCATGCCGAGCGCACGCAAATGTGTGGCCTCTGTCTGGGCTTTGACGCCGAGCGGCCGCACATCTGCGTGCAATTAAAAAAAAAAAACCCATATGTGCTGAAGGCACGTGACCTGCACGCTCCCAGCACACAGGTCCGGTACTCACGGAAACGTCCCGATCGCCTCTTGTGATTGGGACCTTTCCCAATCGTGACAGCGAATGTACGGCGGTCACATGACCCTAAAACCCCACCCGCCTCCCAGCTTCTGAAACCCTTAAAGGGCCGGGAGAGGTCAGCGCCAAGGGGTTAATTGGTTTACATCAGAGACGTAGAAAACTTTTTTTTTTTTTTTTTACCTTTTAAGGCTACTTTCACACTGATCCGCCTCAAAAACATATATGCGTTTTTACCGCGCTCTCTGATCATGTTTAACCTCTTCACTTCGGCCAAACGCAAATGTGCGGCCTCCTGCCGTCTGGGCCTAGACGCCGAGCAGCCGCACATTTGTGCTCTATTAAAAAAAAAATGTGCAAGAGCGCGCACCCTGTGCACTCCCAGCACACATCTGGTACTCACGGAAAGGTCCCAATCTCCTCTTTCAATCAGGACCTTTCCCGATCATGTGACGGCGGTCACATGACTGTAAACCCTGCCCCCGGCTTCTGAAACCCTTAAAGGGCTGGGAGGCGCCAAGGGTTAAAGGACACATGACTTAAAAACTGCACCAAAAACTCTTCTCAGAGGTGTTTTTAAGGAGTTTTTTTTTCAGACGTTTTCCATTGATTTCAATGGGAAGATGCTTTTTTGGGACCTTTTTTGTTTTGTTTTTTTTTTTTTAACTCGCCAAAGGAGTTTTTACACTGCACCACAAGCGCAACGCTTCAGTGTGAAAACAAACATAGTAAACATTCACATACATAGGGAAGCGTTTTTCTTGAGCTTTTTGGGTGCTTTTTTAACACAAAAAAAATGCTTCAAAAACTCCTCAGTGGGGAAAGTAGCCTAATACAGGGGTAGTCAAGCTTAACCACTTGTCCTCCAGAGAATTTACCCCCCCCCCCCCACCCTTCCTGACCAGGCCATTTTTTTTTCTGCGATACAACGCTGTGTTTCTTTAACTGACAATTGCGCGGTCATGCAACACTGTACATAAATTACATTTACATCCCCCACACAAATAGCTTTCTTTCAGTGGTATTTGATCGCCTCTGCATTATTTTTTGTGCTATAAACAACAAAAGACCAACAATTTAAAAAAATAAACTCTTGAATTTTTGCTATAAAACATAATCAGTGAAAAAAATTACAAATTCAAATTTCTTCATTAATTTAGGCCAAAATGTATTCTGCTACATGTCTTTGCATCCCAATATGTGTACATTGGTTTACATGAAAGTTAGTGTTTACAAATGGCGGTATATATACTGGAAGTTCTCTTCTCTTTTTTTTTTTTTTATACTAGTAATGGTGGCGATTAGCCACTTGCTGCGGGACTGCGGCAGGAATTCTGACACTGAGTGGGAGCTAACTGCCACTGACTTCCCCAGTGACACTAATACAGCGATCAGTGCTAATAAAAAGCACAGACACTGTACTAATGGCATTGGGCTGGAAGGGGTTAACATCTGGGGGCGATCAAAGGGTTAACTGTGTGCATTTTACTAGGGAGACATGCGCTGCAGATAAATACAAAGCAGTATGTCCTTGTTGGCAGAAGCGAGACCTGTGTTTACACACACCTCTCCCCTGTCAGCTTTCCCGGACGATCATTGTGGAATCTCCCGCCAGGCGGTGGGCGCCCCCTACCCGGAAATGCAAGTCACGTGTGTGTGTGTATGTATATGTGTGTGTATATATATATATATATATATGTATATATATGTATATATGTGTGTGTGTGTATATATATATATATATATATATATATATATATACACACATGTGATTTTGCACAGCTCTTCTGCCCTGTAGCAGTACTTCTACTATAGGGTGTCAGGCAAGCCGTTACAAAGGGGTACTGCAGTGACCCAAAATTTCATTCATCTTATTCCGTGATGTGATTTAAAGTGATTGTAAACCCTCAGTTTGTAAAGCAGCCCATTACGTTTAAAATAGAAAAGTCAAAACGTGTATAGATATGAAAAACATAAATTTTTTCCCTTTTTTTTTTTTTTTTTTTTATATATACATGATCACATTCCCTCTGATTCAGCTACATAAGAGCTGGGAGAGGAGAAACAGCAGCAAACGTATCTTCCCAGTGAATGCCTGTGCAGGGAGTGAGGATGTCAAGACAAGTCTAATAAATGGAGAGCAGGCTGAGTTACAGTACAGCTAGAGAGCTGACCATGCTGTGCTCTCATGCCCAGTGTGGTCAGTTTTTAATGAGAAAGCCGAGGGACTAGCAGGAACACCAGGGATTTCACACATATAAAGCTATACCAAGAACAGCATACATTTTCATACAAGTGCATGGTACAGCAGGCACCTATCAGGAATATGAAATGTGTTGACATATTCTTTAAAGCCAGCCATACACGGGTCAAATTCCAAAAGAATTTACTTTCGAAAATCTTTTCTAACAATGTTCGTTTGAATTTCGCACCATTAGTGGGTCACAGAAACTGGACAATTTTCGTGTGACCTTCGAATTGAAGATCGGAGAATTGTGCAAGAAATATAAAGCTGTGGCCTGGAAAGGGGAAAAAAAAATTCTTGGCCACGAAAATTTTCTGTAGCAACATTAAATGCTTGGTTTGTGGAATTACGAGATCATTGGTGGCACCATTGGATTAGAAAACGCACAAAATTTCAGATTTTCTAAAGATTAGTTCGGAATTTGACCCATGTATGGCTGGCTTAATACAACTTTTGGACATTTTTTGAGATCCCTGGTGTGAGAGTGACCATCATCATTGCTAATTTGTGTCATTTACCAGCAATATGCCTGAGGCAAGCCAGTAGTAGATCTGTTGTAGATGTTCTGTTATGGAATGAAGTGTTTGGAAGTGGAACTGTACATTCCAAACTGTAAAATGTAGATTTTAAAATTCCAAACTGAAATTGGCTGGTGGGATTGTGAATGTGAGGTTACATTCACGCGACACTGCTGTTTGTGTTATTTAAATGCAGGAGGAATTATATCACAAAATATAAACTGTATACTTCCCAGATTGCATTCTCCTGTGTTTAAAAATAAAAAAGCACAAATCGCCTATTTTCAGCACTTCCAGACCACCTATCAGTGGCCATTTACTATTGTCAAAATGGAGCAGATGGAGGTGTACACACAGCAAGGCAAAAATAACACTGCACACAGAGTTCATCAGACACTTTGCAGCCACCTCCATTACCTTCTATTGAAGTGCACCTATGGCATTTACAGCAGATTTTAGATCCGTTTTTTTTTTCCATCAGTTCAGTGACGTTTTATCCAAGAACAACGGATCAGTTTTTCGTCCATTCCATAGTTTTTTTTAACCGAAACAAAATGGTGTTTTCTGTTAAAAAAAAAAAAAAACGGATGCGGACATTAACCGATCATCAGTTTACAGCCGCTAGTCCATAGAAATACATGGGTGTCTGTTTTTCATCCGTAAACGGACAGATGAAAAATGGGCATACAGGACGCCCATGTGAAAGGGGCCTTAGGCTCCATGCACACTGGGCGTTTTAATAATGCTGGTAACATTAGCTGTGTAAAGTCATGTTAAAAACAAATTTTTTGGTTTTTTTAGCGTTTGCATTCGGGTTTTGCTGTGTTTGCGGTTTTGTTTTTTGCTCAAAAAACGTCCAAAAACACTGGTGTGCCGTGTTTTACTGCATTTTTCAGCGTTAGAGCATTTTTACAGCTAAAACAAAAACTCTAGAAACACACTAGTTTTGAGGTTTTTTTTCTACAGCCAAAAAACACTGATTACATCCTATGTGTGCATGGTGGAGGGTTTACTGGCTGTAGAAAAAAAGCCAAAAACAGCAGCTGTAAAAACATCCAGTGTGCATGAGGACTAAGTCATGGTTGCAAATCATCAAAAGTAATTTTCTTGTTTTAGCATTGTACAATATAAAAACAAAACAAACACTCGCAGGGTGTTTGAGGCGTGTAGCCGGACGCAACATGAACACATGCAATGCATCCAAAGCACACATTGATTCTATAATGTGAACTTAGCCCAACTTCGCCTTTTCCAGAAAATGGCCCATGCAATCAAGGGGCCCCAGTAGATATATAAAAAAAATCCTGCTTTGTTGCTAAGATGATCGCTGCTATTCCAGCTTGTTCCTACTATTGCAGGAGCAAGTTCTCTCTAATCCAAAACCCTGTGCATGTGTGGGTTGCTGTCACCTCTATTGCAAAAGTGAAGGATTTTCTAAACAAATTTTAATGGGGTTTTTTTTTTTCATTCCTTTATTTCAGATTGCTGCTAAAATAGGAGGAGATGCACCACCACCTATGAATTCAAATGACTACAACTTTACAGGGCAGAAGAGACCATTAGATGATGGAGGTTTGTGTGATTTAAGTATTTTTACAGTAATTAGTGTTTTAGAATTCTATTAAAACATTCTTTTTTATGAATATTTAGGCTGGTAAGTAAGTTTAGGCTGGCTAGAGAGAAGTGAGCAATGATAACTTTGTTTCTGATCTTTTGAGCTTCATGTGCCTCGTTTACACGGATCAGAGCTGTGTTATTGTACATATTCTATATAAATCCGTGTAATGTTCATATTTATGCTATACATACGATTATCCATATCATGCTTATGTGTGCAGCATGTTTATTTCGAACAAAAGTAAGAATGTGATCAATATTTTTGATAGGATTTGTGTATCTTATGTCCTTCCGGCACTCGCTGGAGAAGGGGAGGGCACAGCTGGCTTTTTGCTCTTAGCCATTTGCAAAGAACCCGAGCCAGCTGTCAGGCAGCTGAGTGGATCCAGACAAAGTGGTCGGGATCTTTCCAGAACTTGGAGCAGCTCTGTGACATCAGCTGACAGTGCTGTCGGCTGATTTTGGGTCACAGGAGAATGTAGGTAAGAGCACGCCTGTCACCCGCAAGAGAGGAGCATGGCCAACAAAAGCATGGGCCGTCTTCTCTTCTAAATAACAATGGTGTAACCGTTTCCCCTCGTGCCCCCCAGTGAGGAAGGGAAGACAAAAAGTCGCATGATACATTAGTGGCTAGCTAAAGTTTAAAAATACAACTTTCTGAGATTTTTTCCTAAGGTATTTTCATTGTCATCACTTTGACTTTTTTTTTTTTGCCTTCTCAATTGAGGGCCCCAGCACTGTGACCACGCTGTCAGAGATAGCTCCTGCTCACATAGCATACAATCAGTAGCCAGCAGGATAGGCACATGGTCACCGTGACAGCCAGTCAGTGATCACATGAATGGGAAGCCAATGTAACTCCTCAGATGTTAGATTTTCAGGGAGGAGTTAAGGAAAGACATGTTTGTTGCCTTTGTTTTATTTCCAAAATTTATAGATCTGTCTGGATGTTTCTTAAGCATTCTTGGCAGTGGTGTAGCTAGCAGGCTTAGACATATATTGAAGAAGCAGTGTCCTAATGGGAATATCAGAATGGAGTTAGTTGCTGGATGGTGGTAAATTTTTTTTTTTTTTTTTTTTACTTCATTTATTTTAGATCAGCCAGAGGCAAAGAAAGTAGCTCCAACAAATGACTGTAAGTGCTGTATAAACCTGCTTGTTTAGTTTTTAAATCATTTATACATACTGTCAAAATACAAGTTTACATGTTTGTTTGTTTTCTTCCTTCAAGCTTTTTCACCTTCACTGCCTCCAATGCATCAACAACAACAGAGGTGAGTGTTGTGTGAACACTAGCTTTGTATATTAGTGATGTTTGGCGTAGTTGTTTGCAACCTGTGACTCCTAAAGAACTTTACCACACGTAAGCTCACCACACACGTTACAATCTTTGCAATCTTTTTTAGATCCACCAACAATTATGTAGTGCAAGAGCCTGTCAGATTGGATGTGGATTTGGTTAGTTTACTTGGGTCTATATACTAACCATTTTTAATCTAAAATTGATTACACAAAGATAGGTTAGATTGTAAAGTGTATGGTGCCCCCTAGGGGGTAAGTTAGTCCCTCACACCCATTTTCTCATGCTGAGAATTTTATGTTTGCTTGCTGAATTGGTTCAGCTCTTACCAGGGCTCTTTGGCTATCGATGGAGGTTTGTTTGAATAGTTTTAGGTTGGTAGTCGGAGGACTCTATACTCTTAATGACTTGATGTTTGTGGTCCAATGCACAGAGCTGTCACCCTTTAGGTCCTCTTAAAGGAGCACTGTATATTCCCCATAATTGCTTCCCTGCAAAAGTCTCACTTTTTGGCAGTGCCTAGTCTTTCAATTGCAAGTCTGCATTTTTTTTGGAGGGAAGTACAGCTTTGCTTTCGGCATAGTTATAAGTAGTTTAGTTCACCTTGCAAGTTGGAAATCTAGGGACATATATGTCCTGTCGACTGTCTATTGCTTTTAACTGCATTTTAAATGTTTTGTGATTACTGATAATTGAATGTACAGTATTTCGTCATTGTTAGCTCTTGCAGTAAGGGAGGGTTATAACCCTTGTAAGTTTTTTACCATCTGTGTCCCCTTGGGGAGATTTACCTTCACTTCCTGTCCCATTGCCAAAACAGGAAGTGGGATCTGCAAATTAAGGGAGTTCTTTGGGTCCCCTCAGGTCAGAAAAACTTGTGTCCCCATTAAAAAATGTCCCCTCTAATAATCTGCAGACATCCCCAAATTTGGGATTTTGTCTTACTTTCACTTTTGATAATTGTTGTACAGGACCCATAGAGTGGGTGAATCTGCCTAACTGGGCCACAGACAGCAATAAAAACCTGACAGGTGTTCTGATCCGTCTCCACTCCATGCAAAACTAAATAAAAAACCTTTAGTTATACTTTAACTCCTTGCAGCCGGCCACATGCATGTATGTGGCCTCCTGGTGGGTGGGCCTTAACGCCGAGAGGCTGCATATTCACAACCCCCCATCAAACCCCGCCTCCCGGCATATAAAGGCCTGGAATGTGCCTGCGCAAAGGGGTTAATATTATACTAAAGTCCTGTTTTTGTTCTTTTTAAGAAAGAAGGAAAAAATAAAACTTGTCTATGCATACCTGCTGTATGTAGTGGTTTTACAGAGATCAGCCTGGATCCTCTTCTCGGGTCCCTGCCGGCGCTCCTGTCCCCTCCCTCTCGTTGGGTGCCCCCATAGCAAACAGCTTCTGACTTTTTCTGATCATGACTTTCTTGAATAGCAATAATTCTTTGTTCTTCCGTAATTTCCATTTTTATAATGGGGAACACTAAAAACTAGCAACATAAACCTGTGTGCAGTTCACCTCACCTTATTTTTTGGGTACATTGAAACTTGGGTGAAAAGGATTGGGTGAGGAGGATGCAAGAACTAAAATATAAATATCTTTTTTTCAGGTCCGTTGTTACCGAAGAGTACAAAGTTCCAGATGGAATGGTTGGATTCAGTATGTATTGTCTTAACTCTTTCATACATCTTTTACCTCGTTTTCCCTGCTTTTGTTCAAAATGGTTGTGTTTTTTTTTAGTCATTGGTTTTTTTTTAGTCATTGAGAGGTGGTGAACAGATTTCACGCATTCAACAGGAATCTGGCTGCAAGATTCAGATTGCTCCAGGTATATTTTGCTCTTACAAGTGTGGATCACTGGAAGAGTTTCATTATATATTTGTGAAAAAATAGAATTTGTGATTTTCAGTCCTGGTGACTGTGGCTGCCAGGAGCAACAAGTTATTTCTCACTAGAGGGGACACAAATAGCAGGACAGCAAGTTTTCAGAAGGAAAATTGTTGGTCTGTCAGTGTTTTCTTTATCTTCCACACTGAAATGGTCATGAACTGTTAAAAAGAGGGCACATAAGTTTTGTGTGACTAGACTTGACTCTTGCACATTTCTAATTGGTAAATGTTTTGAAAATTTAACCCATGACCAGAGCTCCTGTAACATGCAATTTTAGTGGCGCTTAAAAATATTGGACATTGCGGACCTAGCTCTTGTAAAAGGAGATGTCTCTGAAGCTACATATTGGATGCAGTATTTAGGAAGGCAGTGTGTAGTATTTTAGCATCTATTTACCTGTGGACAAATAGCAGCATGCATCTGAGGCTTTTGGCTTGTTTGTAAGGTTTAATTGGTTCAGCTTAATTGCAGCCAAGGCTAGCAACTGGAATCTGGTTTTGATTTGTGACATATGCTTGTTTATTCACTTTTGTCCTTTTTTTGAAGAAAAGGATTTTGTTTTGGGACTTGTTTTTAAATTGTCTGGTTGCCATTTCAGATAGTGGTGGGATGCCTGACCGATCCTGCATGTTAACTGGAACCCCTGATTCTGTCCAGTAAGTAAAGCACTACCTCCACTTGATCAAATTTTGATAGGTACAATTTCCTATACTAATACAAGTGTTTTGTTGTTTTTTTTTTTTCCTGTTGCAGAGGTGCAAAGAGGTTGCTCGATCAGATTGTTGAAAAGGGAAGGCCCACTCCTGGATACCATGGAGATGGCCCTGGGAGCACAGTTCAGGAAATCATGATTCCTTCTGGTAAAGCTGGACTGGTCATCGGAAAAGGAGGGGAAACTATTAAACAACTTCAGGTATGAATGAATACCTTTTAACTGCTGTCTCTGAGCAAAGTAAGTTTTTTTTTGTTTTTTTTTGTGTTTTTTTTTTTTGTTTTTTTAATTAATCTTTTACTTTCTCGCAGGAACGTGCAGGAGTCAAGATGGTCATGATTCAGGATGGACCCCAAAACACAGGAACAGACAAGCCATTAAGAATTACAGGAGATCCTTACAAAGTGCAGGTACTAAACAAAACATTAGGGTGTGATGAGCAATATGCAAGGTGAACCGTTTAAAGCGGAATGTCACCCAAAAGGGAAATTTCCACTTTGTCCTCCTGGTCTCTTGCACCCCCACCATGTTTGTTATATAATTTTTGGGGTCGGGAAGAGCAGGTAACTAGCTTTGACAGGTAGGCGATTTAAGCTGAAGTTCTCCAGGGATATTACTGTCCCAGAAGACTGCAGGACCATTCATAAAGTGCAGTGGGCATCCAGCTGTGAACCCAAAAGCAGCATAGCTGGCTGCCCACAGGATGCCGCCTCCAGGAACCCGAAAGCTAGTAACTAGCCTCAGTGAGGATGACGCTGGATCCCTGGACAGTGTCATTTTATGAAGCCAGCAACTACAGGAGAGAAGAACCGCTTTAACCATGCTCTTTATTTTTTTTACAGCAAGCTAAGGACATGGTGTTAGAATTAATACGTGATCAAGGAGGTTTCAGAGAAGCAAGGAATGAATATGGCTCAAGAATAGGCGGGAATGAAGGAATTGATGTAAGTATAGAGAATCTTTCTGTCTGGAAATAAATTAAGGAGTTGTACAGTTTTGTACTTGTACTGACAAAGTAATCTTGAAGCTAAAAACTTGTATAAACTACTAATTGATCTCTGATCCATCAAGGAACTGATACTTTTAGCAGGCTCATCGTAATTTCTGGCTGTCAGCTATATTTTCTGCTGACAGACTTACAACTTACTGCAGTAATGTCTGGGAAGCCTTTGCTGGTGCCATATTTAGTCCCTGTTTGTTTTCAAGGTACCCATACCTCGATTTGCTGTTGGAATTGTAATAGGCAGGAATGGTGAAATGATCAAGAAAATTCAGAGCGACGCAGGCGTCAGAATTCAGTTTAAACCAGGTTGGTATTTTTCTTTTAAGTTGTTACTTAAGAAAATGTGAATTTTCCTGACAGAATTTTTTTCTCTTGCAGATGATGGTTCAACTCCAGAAAGAATAGCACAGATCACAGGTCCTCCAGACAGATGTCAGCATGCTGCAGAGATCATAACAGACTTGCTGCGCAGTGTCCAGGTTTGTGTTTTTTTCCAGACTAGTTAGCAAAAGTGCAATGGTTCATTGAATGAATTTTAGAAGTCGCTGTTGTACAAACAACTTCTGTCTATTAATCTGACAGTACTGTGTTGATTTAGTGGTGTGGAATATATTAGAGCACATCTTTCAGAGTGGACCGTGTAATGGATGGCACAACCCATCATCCACCCCCTATAGACTTGGTATTTATTACCACCCCAGATCTCCCATCTCTATGGATCAGCATGCTTATTCAGTGGATATAAAAAGTCTACATGTCAGGTTTCTTTGTAAAAAAAATTAGACATAGATAAATCATTTCAGAACCTTTTCCACCTTTTAATGTGACCTATAAACTGTACAATTCAGTTGAACATCAAACTGAAATATTTTAGGTGGAGGGAAGTTAAAATAATATGGTTGCATAAGTGTGCACACCCTTGTTGAAGCACCTTTTTGATTTTATTAGTCTTTATGGGGACAAGGCTATCAGCATGGCACATCTTGACTTGGCAATATTTGTCCACTCTTCCTTGCAAAAACACCCCAAATCTGTCCGATTGCGAGGACATCTCCTGTGCACAGCCCTCTTCAGATCACCTCGCAGATTTTTGATCGGATTCAGGTCCGGGCTCTGGCTGGGCCATTCCAAAACTTTAATCTTCTGGTGAAGCCATTTCTTTGTTGATTTGGATGTATGCTTTGGGTCGTCATGCTGAAAGGTGAAGTTCCTCTTCATGTTAAGCTTTCTAGCAGAAGCCTGAAGGTTTTGTGCCAATATTGACTGGTATTTGGAACTGTTCATAATTCCCTCTACCTTGACTAAGGCCCCAATTCCATCCAAAGAAAAACAGCCCCAAAGCATGATGTTGTTTTTGTGCCAAACATATCTTTTGGAATTATGGTCAGAAAGTTTAACTTGGTGTCATCAGACCAGAACACATTTCCCCACATGCTTTTTTGGAGACTTCAAATGTGTATTTGAAAAATTTAGCCGGGCTTGGATGGTTTTTCTTCGTAAGAAAAGACTTCCGTCTTGCCATTCTACCCCATAGCGCATATGAAGATTATGGGAAATTGTTGTCACATGTACCACACAGCCAGTACTTGCCAGATATTCCTGCAGCTCCTTTAATGTTGCTGTAGGCCTCTTGGCAGCCTCCCAGACCATTTTTCTTCTCGTCTTTTCATCAATTTTGGAGGGATGTCCAGTTCTTGGTAATGTCACTGTTGCGCCATATTCTCTCCACTTGATGACTGTCTTCACTGTGTTCAGTGGTATATATAATTCCTTGGAAATTCTTTTGTACCCTTCTCCTGACTGGTACCTTTTTAACAATGAGATCCCTCTGATGCTTTGGAAGCTCTCTGCAGACCATGGCTTTTTACTGTAGGATGCAACTAAGAAAATGTTGGAAAAGACCTATTAGAACAGCTGAACTTTATTCGGGGTTACTCAGAGGCACTTTAAATGATGGCAGGTGTGTACTGACTCCTATTTAACATGATTTTGAATGTGATTGCTTTCATTCTGAACACAGCTACACCCCCAGTTATAAGAGGGTGTGCACACATATGCAAACACATTTTATTTTTTACGTTTACTGACACCCCCCCCCCCCCCCCCCCCAAAGATTTGTTTGTTTTTCATTTGAGTTGTACAGTTTATACGTCACATTAAAGGTGAAAAAAGTTCTGAAATAATATTTCTCTTTTACCTCACAGAAACCTGACATTTTAACAAGGGTGTGTAGACTTTTCATATCCACTGTACTTGCCAGTCAGAGCTACACATCCTGTCTCTCGGCTTTTAATTTCTGTAGATTTTCCTGTTATAACACAGCACCTACTTCTTAGACACTACTTCTCTGCCCCTCCCATTGCTGACCCTGTGCATGCTGTTCCTGGTTTTGTTTTTAATAAATCCTATTGGATATGCAGTACTCTGCAAAATATGGGTGCATTTTCTAAGCTGATGACCCTTTTTTAACCCTTTTCTCAAATGCAAGATTAGAAATTGGTGTCTAGTTTATGTAAGGAGCATTTTATTTTGTGCTAATGCATTGCTTCTTAGATCCTTGCCCTTTTTTTCTGTACTGGACATCTTTTAGGAAGATTACTTTGTCACAGGCTTAATTTACAGTTATGTGTAGCCTTTCATTGAGACGCCATGTTGGCACACTTTGCATTATGGTAGGATTGTGTTGCAAGTCATCAACTCGCTTTAAAGTGGAATATAGTTAGTATAGGTTTTTGGTTTTTTTTTTTTTTTGTTTTTGTTTTTTTTTTTTTCTCTGGTTCAGTGAAACTTCTTAAGTGAAACACGGGATGTCACTTTACACAAAAACTTGGTGGAGAGTTCAAGAAATATTAACAGTTTAGGTCGATTTTCACACTTCTTTAGTTATAACCTTTTTATTTTGATAATTTTGTGTCTTTTATCACATGTAGGCCGGAAATGCTGGTGGCCCTGGTCCGGGTGGCAGAGGAAGGGGTAGAGGAGGACAAGGAAACTGGAATATGGGCCCCCCCAGGAGGTCTGCAGGAATTTAACTTTGCTGTTCTCACAGTAAAAAAACTGGACTCATCATTGGAAAAGGTATTGGTTAATAATGCTACAAAGTGCTAGCTGACTGACAGCTGTTTTTAGCATACTGCTTACTAATTGCAGCTAAGGTTTTAGTTATCTCTGAAGAATTTTGTAGTAGTTGTCAATTCTAACTTTTTATTGGGACATCTGTAAACGTAATTCTAGTGGCTTTTTGACGTCTGTTGCAATTTTAATTCTTTACTCTGTCCTTGATCTGCGTTTTTTCAGGTGGTGAAACTATCAAGAACATAAGCCAACAATCTGGAGCTAAAATAGAGCTTCAGAGAAACCCTCCACCGAATTCCGACCCAAACATGAAGTTATTTACTGTGCGCGGCTCTCCACAACAGATAGACTATGCAAGGCAACTAATTGAAGAAAAAATAGGGGTATGTATAATGTTCAGAATTTCTGCATTGTTACATATGGCCTGATTTGCTGTTGAAAAGCCACAAGTGGTGATATCCACCCTTGTTTTTAGATTGTTGTACTGTCAAGATTCATTAGTGTTTTTTTTTTTTTTTTTTTTTTTTTTGGTTGGTTTTTTTTTTTTTTTCCCTTCTGGCATTGGTCATTTTTATGGTGAGGAGCATACATCCTAAAGAGACTATTTCCCTGTTCTTTCCTTCCTTATAGAGACAGGAAAAATTCAGCAGTATTAAACCCAAAAGCAAATATTATTTCAGCTTACCATTTCTTGGATGCGATGGCTACATTTTGTTTTCTTGTTAGGCTTTCTTCTATTTTCATTGGGTGATCTGGCCAGGAATCCTCAGTTCACACTAGCTTTGTAAGCAGGCGTTTGAGGGGCGTTTTTAATGCTCTTTAAAAGCCTATAAAAATTATACACATGGCAGTACACAGTGCTGTTCACCCTGAAGCATTAGCGTTGTGGAAAAATTGATGCCTTGTGCAGAGTCAGGAGGAGTTGAAGCCTTTCAGCGCCTCCCATTCAATTCTATGGTGACACTCCTCAAACGCTTGTCAGGCGTTTGTGGGGCGTTAATACCATTAACTTCATTATAGGCGTTTGCTGTGTGGTTTTAACGCTTGGAAAATGCCTATGAAAAGGCACAAAAACACGCATAGAGTGTTTGGGGAGCGTTACAAACCTGTCAAATGCTATAGGGGCGTTTGGGAATAAGTCTTGCAGATATTTCAGTTACAGGGATGATCCCAAAACAAAATAAAGGTTTGCTGTAACTGCTTATAATGCATTAGCTGGAGTTTGTATTCAGAACCCTCCGTCGTCGTCCCTGTTGACAATGCTGCTGTCCAGTTGTGCCCTGGTTGCACCTTGACTAATACAGGGGGCACTGTAATTCAGGAGGTGGGGTGTTACTGTCCAGATCACAAGTGAAAACGGGGGAAGAAGCCTTAAAAGAAAACTAATGTAGCCATCTAATGATTGGTAAGCTGCAATATATTGCATTTGGGTTTAATAACCGCTTTCAATGTTCATGTAACTCATTGGGCAGGTTAGAAAATTTGTAAACAGGACTTGCTGCTAACCCTTGTGCAGCAGGCTTTATTGTATCAAGATGATACTTAGATTAGTTGTATTACCTACAAATATTGGGATATTTATGACCCCTCAGCCTAAATAACCGCTTTTATTTGTGATCAGTGTTGTACTTGTTCCTCAAACTGGAGTTGATTATATTGACTGTTGAAACACTAAAATTTATATAAATCATAAAGCTTTGAGGATTTTTTTTTTTTTTTTTTTTTTGGGCACTGAAGGCTAGGTATGTTCTTAATTTCATCTATTCACTCTTCAGGGCCCAGTTAATCCGTTAGGGCCTCCAGTTCCTCATGGACCCCCTGGAGGTGTACCTGGCCCCCACGGACCTCCTGGACCTCCAGGCCCCGGTGCTCCCATGGGACCATACAACCCTCCACCATATAACCCAGGACCTCCAGGCCCAGCACCACAGTAAGTAATACATTTTTATTTGAATTGCTTGATTGTATTTATGATCGGGTGTGTTTACCTAGGCTTGTCATTATCTTTTAAAGCGGTCCCCCCGCGCCATATGCCCCACAGGGCTGGGGCAACACATACCAGCATTGGCAGCAGCCAGCTCAGCCAGACCCAAGTAAGTTGTCTTGTCTGTGTTTGCATTTTTACCTTGATTTTGTAATGTATTCATTTAATATGGGTAGTATCATTTATACTCAAAATTTGGGTGTATGGTTTACATTTGAATCCTTAGGAGTCCTACATTTACATTTTGTCTAGTTTGCTAGGATAAAAATAATTCAGTGCATGTGCTTCATTGAGTAGCGGAATGCTGATGAAGATTTTGGTTGATCGCAGCAGTGATCATAATGCTTCATTTGGATTTTCACTGCACAGTCATTGAACATGCTTCTCTGTGCTGTACATTAATAGGCATGACATATTTCAGCCTAACAGATCCTTAATTCAGTGCAGGCTAGAGGAAAATCATTTACACAAAGGCCCTTGGCAAGGATAGGAAAGTGGTAACTGGATAGGCAAAGAAAAGTTTCAGTAGTATTTTCGTTACACCAGTTTTCTGCAATATTGGGGAAACTGCAGCCACAAAGGTTAGTAAAAGTTTTGGGGTGGGTTCCAAAAGTCTAGCCTTTTCTGGTGTATATATTTTAATCCAGCCAGGCAAATCTGGAGTGTTAAGTATCTCCTGAGTTTAAAAATACCTGTTGGATCTCCCAGGAGACCAGGTGTACATAGCTCTTGGTCACATTCTGACCTTTGCTGAGGGTTTGAGCTAAATCCACCAGATTATTTCTGTTTGTAGTTCCACCCCAGGCTGAAGCCCAATTGGTCTTCCTAGGAGGAAATTACAGCACAGAACTAAAGCCCCCACCCCTTCTCTGGTTCTTACTTTGACCACACCGCCCTGGTTTACCTTTTGCTAGCCTGGGTAGCGCTGATCAATCCTATTGTGATTGCAGACTGCAATTAAATTGGTAAATGTTCAGTTAGTGCTGGTAGGGCTGTCTGATCTGACAACAAAGGAGTTAAACTAGTAAATAGTGGCTGCTGGTAAACATTCCCTCACACTCCCAATAGTAAACTGTAGGAAAATTAACAAGTCTCCATGACTTGCACTTCATCTGGTACCTCCTCTGGTCCCTGCAGCACACATCTCTGATGACTGTGAAACTCGCATGACTTGCCTCCGGATGGCACCTCCCTTGGTTTTTGCAGCTCCCATCCCTGGCTCCTTAATTAGCCCCTGTCACTGCCCTAGTGCTGACTGATTATTTACCATTGTGAATGCTTAGTCTGCAGTCGTGGGGCTGTTCTATCTATCTGCCAGTGTAGTGAATGTTGACTAGAAGCTGGCAGATCTGTCACTCAGCCCCGCCACTGCTGGCTGTTCATTAGTTCAAATAGTAAAAGTTCAGTCATCACTGGCTGGGCTATGTCATTGATCTGACCACTGATGGTAAACATCCATGCATCAGCAGATGGATAACACAGCCACACAATTTTGTTGTGAATGGAGCTACTGTTGACCTTGCTAGCTCAACAATAGCAGCACAAAACAGAGCGGGACAAAGAGTTCCAGATACATGTTCCCTGAGGGATTTAATAAGTATTTTAAGTGTGGAGATAACTACTTTAAAGAATTTATGTGGTGGGGTGGATGGATTTGGGTGATAATTTTATGTAGGTTTGTTTACATACAATACTCTATAAGAGTGTGATGTTTAATTTCTTAGGTAAAGCAGGAACAGACCCCAATTCTGCAGCATGGGCAGCTTATTATGCTCACTATTACCAGCAGCAAGCACCTCAGCCACCTGCAGCTCCATCTGCTGGACCAGCTCCAACCCAAACTAATGGACAAGGTAGCATCTCAGTTATAATACTTAAAGGAAATCCATTCTGTGGCGGAGAGCAACGGGACACAATGTGGGCAGCAGTGCTGGAATTCTACATCCACCAGATTGTGTGGTGTGGATGTTGCAGCTTTGAAAATGTTGCCATTAGACATTATTTTGGTTTAGGCATCATGAGGATTGCCTTTCTTTTAGGTGGCATGTTGATTTTGTTTTGCGCACCTTACATGCTTTGCATGCACATGTGTGAGTGTCCGTTACGGATTTGTCTTTCTTTTTATGTACCTTTCCTTTCTTGCGTGCATGTTTTGCAGTCCTAAAGTTCTGACATATCTTATCTCCTTTTTGTCAAGTTGATGCCCCAGCTGCCCCTCAATCTGGCCAAGTGGATTACACAAAAGCTTGGGAAGAGTATTACAAAAAAATGGGTATGTAAGATGCATACCTAACTTTTTAATTATTATTTCTACAGGCTGCCCTCGTTTTTTTAAGCAAAAATGTGCATTTTGGCCTACATTTATGACAAAATTAGATTTTTTTTTTTTTCGCACTTTTTTTACTGGATGTTTTATAGCAAAAAGTCAATTCATTGTGTTTTTTTATATAGAGAAAAAAATAACCGCACAGGCGATCAAATACCACCAAAAGAAAGCTCTACTTGTGGGGAAAAAGGACATAAATTTCATTTGTGTAGTGTTGCATGACTGCACAATTGTCAGTTAAACTAACGCAGCGTTGTATCGTAAAATATGGCCTGGTCAGGAAGGGGGGGTAAATCCTCTGGGCGAGTAGTTAAAGAGAAACTTGTGACTGGGCTTCCTCAAGACTCTCAATATCCCACCGTTTTATTATAGCTGTACAGACCTGTTTTTTTATTATTTTATATTTCTTCCCTACCAGTACTGCCATGTTATAGCAAACTTTACCCATAACTACTTGATAAAAAATGTTCTTTAGCAAGGAATATGCGTTCCATGTTAATAATTATGCTCCTAAAATCAGTGTGCGCTGTTCATTGCCTCCAGCATTGCTCTTGTTCTTGCTGGAGGCTGCCATTTTGCTGAAGCCCCTGAGCAGCAGTAAAGCAGAACTAAACTCATCTATTTAAGTTTTTAAAAAAAGTTACATTGCTGGAAAGCTGGGATTGCAAACTGTCAAATTTTACTTTTGTCCTTCCAAACTGTCAAATATCGAAAGGCTGGTGTTGTAACTGATCACTTGCCGCACTATGGTAGTTGTAGATCAAACAGAAGCAGCTCCCTTGTCTGTAAGGCCTTGTTCATACCATGGTGCAAACACGGCAGTTTTTCTGCACACATTCTGCTTGGCACATGTGCCCTGTTCACACCACAACACTAGTATCGTGTGCTTTTTTTTTTTCGGCGTAGCAATCTGCAATGTGTATGAAATATTGAAATGCCCATAAAAACTGATGTATACTGATGTCTCTGCAAGTGAAATCTGTGCATCAGTTTTTCTGCACGTATGGTATGAACGAGCCCTTAATGAAAGGAGGGTTTAGTTCTGCTATAAGGCTGTCAGCAGATCAGCCTCTACAAATTCGGGGAGCATATGCCAAGCAGTGTGACACAGTGTATTACTGTATTTTAAGCAGTTTAGGCACTTGTTTTTATTGTTTTTACATAGCTATACCTCGAAAGGGGCCAGCATGAAGTGACCTAGCGGGACATCATTTCTGACTAAAGTTCCACTAAAAAAAAAAAAATGTTTTTTTGCCTGCCTGTTTGATTATGATAGTTTCATTGACTGTTGTACACAAAGGTTGATTGTGTCATTGTCCGCATTATAGATGACTGCATCAGCTAATGCTACATTTTTGAAAATTGAAAACTTGATGCTGCAAAGCATTTGTACACTTGTGTGGACTGGCTTGGGATAGATCCAAGTGCTGGGGCGTGTGGCCAGTGAATGCAGAGATTTCCTTGCCAATGCAGTTCTGCCATAAATTTAGTTGCTTTTTCACAAACCCAGCACATGCCTGAATTTACTATACTGAAACAGACCATAGCAAAATTGTACCCACAACTGGATTCAAAGCCTGATACCTTAACTAGCAATAGCCCCAGACCCGCTTACTACATTGGAAATCTTGCAGTTACCTGACCCAGTATTGGGTTACTGCACATATCTAGCATCACTGTTGGGCTCCTGTCTTGATATTTTGTGCATGATCATTGTACAGCAGAACCTTTGTGAGCCTGTTTATATTTTGCAATCTTTGTTTTCATAGGCCAGCAAGCCCCTCCTCAAGACTACTCCAAAGCATGGGAAGAATATTACAAAAAGCAAGGTAAAGTTTGAATCTTCTAAAAAAAAAGAAAAATGAAACCTTGATAAAAGAAAAAGCAAAATAGTTTTCCCTTTGCTCCTTTCACACCTGCATTTGATCCTTGGAGTTTTAAGTCATTTTAAACCCTCAGTTCTCAAGATTTTTCAGCAGATTTTTTTGCTTACTGATTATTCAGCTTCTTTATATTTTGATCCTTGCCTATGTTTTTAAGCGGGTGCTTTGACTGCTGCACCAGATTTCTGATTTCAGGGAGGCTTTTTTATTTTATCAGTATCCTATGGAGCCCCTCTTGTGCAGGGATTGAAGTTGTCTCCCTACAGTGTGCACATCAATAGAATCACACAGCCCCATAGCCTAAGATGGCAAGGCATTATTTCACCCCCCCTCCTCCAGGCTAACAGAACTGGCCACAATTTTTTTCATGTAAAATCTGACAAATCAGGGTAGCTGCACTGAGAAAGCAGACACTAGCAACAATGCAAAGATGTAAGCTGCAAATGCTGGGATAAGAATTAACTAGTTTAATCCAATCACCATAAAATAAATATTCCTATGTGTTAAACTGAAAAATGCAGAGTGTTTATTACTTTTAAAGGTAGATTGATGCATTTTTGGTGAGTTGCTATCGAAGCACACATTCGGAAAGGATATATGGTAACAGGAATGCGGAGGTAAATGTTGCCTTACTATATTAGTGCTCCAAGGGGAGTCACTGTTCTGATGAATCTTTTTAAGCTTTCCCTTCTATGTTGCTGGGTTCCACATTGGCTTAACAAACCATCTAACTGCAGTAACCTGGTTGGCTAATGGCTTACTACCCAGTCACATCGGGTGCGATTTGCATGCCAGGTGACTTTCAAATCGTATGCCAAGTCACACCCTGTTGTCCGCTATTAGAGCGGTCATATCGGTGCGGTTCCGACTTGGTCTGAGATGCATCAATTTCTAAAGTAGTACATGCACTAATTTTGTTGCAATTTGCATAGACATCTGTCAGATGTCTTGCAAATCACAACTGAAATTGTCACCTGATTTTGAAATCGTGCAACTTCACTGTAAGTCGCACAATTTCAAAATCGGCTGTGATTTGACCGGGGGCTTATTCTGTATTCACACATTGCATTGTTAAAAGGCAGGCTTGCTTTTGTTTTGTTTTTTGGTGGGACATTTTGCTGCTGTTGTCTTTTCCTCAATTTTCTGGTCATGTGACATGCCTTTAGTAAAATGCCATACTTGTGTACAATTTGCCTCATCTGTGGGCCCCCACTAACGTTCATCCAGATCCCTCAGTCTGCCGTTTTTACTATGTATGACAGCTGAAGCGTGTGCTGTAGTTTTGTGTGTTTGTACTACTAGAAACATTGTGTAACTGGAGCCTTAGGCCCCTTTCACACAGGGCAGAATCCGATTTGCTCAGCAGGGGAACCACTGATGCACCACTGAGCATAGCAGGCGGATGACACGTTTGTTTGCTCAGTTTATGCAGAGCGGACACGGACAGAGCCCACTCTGCGGTTGGATGTAAATGGACTGGCTGTCATCTCTGCCCTCTGATCTGCCTAGACCAAGGGGGATGGCTCCCCTTCCGTTTGTTTTTTTATGGGGTTGGATGTAGGTGAGTGTAAATGGACAAGCGTTTGTTTACACCTGCCAGTCCATAGGGGTGAATGGACAGACCGTCCGTCCAGGTTCCCCTGAAACTGACAGGCTGACCTGCTCAGAATGGTCGTGTGAATGGGGCCTTGGTGAAATACTTTCTGCAATCACTGTTGAGTTTTCTGTGTCAACAATTCATTTATTCCCTACTATAGGCCAAACGGTTCCAGCTGCAGGTGCGGCACCACCTGCTGGCCAGCCTGATTACAGCGCTGCCTGGGCAGAATACTACAGACAACAAGCTGCATATTACGCACAGACCACAAGTCCCCAAACAATGCCACAGCACCCTCCTGCGCCTCAGGTATGTCATTAAAATCAGTACATTTGTCTGAATTTTGGGGAGATTTATTTGCCCTTGATAAATAGTAACAAAGACTTTTAAAACAAATTCCTGTGCAACATGTGGTTTCTGTGTGATCACAACATTTTCCCCTTTCAGGGCTAATGAAACCATACAGGAAGCAGCCAACATTTGTTAACCAATCTTTCCTTAGGGTCTCTCCTGAGTTGGCTTCCTTTAAAGGAATGTCTAGTTTAACTCTTTGTATGTCTTATGTATTTCCTCTGCACAGGGCCAGTAATGCGAAGTGGACAGTACAGTATTTGCTTCATTGTGTTGGGGAAAACCTTTGTTAAATGTTTGGATGCAGACGCCTTGATGAAGATCTTAATTATTTGTTTTGGTTTAAAAAATGTTTTTTTTTTTGTTTTTTTGTTTTTTTTGAAAAATGTACAGAAACTATCACTACTGACTGATAGGAGGCTATATTTCTGTGTAGAAATGACAAATTGGTTTGTTTTTAGTATTAGTGTAGATGTACACATTCCAGCAAATGTATTTGCAACTATTATGTGGTCAAAGAATGCTTTGTGATACAAATGTACTTTTTCAATGTATACTTCATCACTTTTAAAAATGCCTGTTTTGTGCTTTACAATAAATAATATGAAACCTCCTGTGTCGGTAAGTTGGATATGTGAGTATTTAAAAAGAAAATGCTTTTTTATTTTTATTAATGGTTAAATAACAAGGTAATGGACGTATTTTATAACATGAATACAATTTTTTTCTCTTCAGTTTCTCTTTATGAGAAATGTATTTTATGCTCTTGTAGGTTTTGAATCACCTTTGCTGTAGTAAGCGTTACATGTTTGTTTTCCTGCATGTATATAACTTTAAAGCAGGCACATTTAAAAGACCACTGTTATGACTTGTAAAGCACTCTTCATACCGTTCTGTTTTTGTTTTTCATAAATTGATATATTTCCAGACTGTTTGTGTGCCGTTTTTGATTTTTTGATTTTTTTTTGATTTTTTTTTTTTAACATGATGTAGTTACAGGAAGAAAAATAATGTAGCCTTTTTTTTTTGAATTTAAGACCTGAGAAAACTAAATTTGTAAAAAGGCACTAATCTATAAAGAACAGTGGAAGCTTCTATTGCTGATATTTTTGAAGTTCATGCTCCTTCCTTGATTGCATGTGGCACGTAAAATATAAACAAGCATTTTCATGACCGAGTGTCCCAACACTTGTGCACTGGGTCATTGACTCGCCATACAATGAAGGCTGCAACTGGGTGCTAATCTCAGAGGTTGCATCCCTAGAAAGTTGGCAGTTGCAGTTTCCACGATTTTCTGTTTTGATATGTTTTATTCAGAGGTTCTCCTGGAAAAACCTTTTGGCAGTCATATTCTGAACAGTACAGTGAAGATGTGGATTCAAACAGATAAACTCAGCAAGCGGCATAACATTAAAAAAAAAATGTCAAACTCTTATCAGTCTGTTGGGCAAATCCATCTCTCCTGCTGTTCTGAAACATTGCTGGAATATATGATACGAAAATAATAATCTGTGATAAATTGTCTCCATGGTGAAGACAGGTGATTTAGAAAGCCCCCATCTCATTAAATTGAGTGTGGGTGAAAGGCTGTTGGCACCCTGGGACCTGATCTGGACATAGTCATGCTGGGAAGCAATTCTTTTGTAGCTTTCTATTTCTCTTATACATACAATAGTACTATACAGTTCAATAGGTTGGTGAGGTCCAGCCTTGTTACACTGTGGGTACTACACACTACCAGCAAAAATGGGACTCAATTCCAGCACTCGGTCAACATTCCACACAAGAATATAAACTATAATTAAAAGAATAAATAACCTAAAAATGTGAGGTAAAATGCCGCCTTATAGTAATTCCATACAGTCCTAAAACCTATGAACAAGTGTATAACAAAATCATAATTGTCACCAATTTTTTTTTTTTTTAACTCCAATTTTATACAAGGTCAGCATCATATACATGGGTCCACAAAAGCTGCCTCCTCCTGAAACCCTCCTAAATGGAGTGTAGTTGGCGATAGATTACTTCTGAGACAGCTTGCTTTGAATGGTGGTTACAGATTTTGTTACATATTTGTAGTATAGATATTTAGAATTACCAGTGACCACCATTCTAAGAAAGATACCTTATAGAAATCATCTAATGACCGCTTTAGGGGGTAGCTGGCTTTTTGTTTGTTTTGTGATGATTTTATAGCACCAACAATTTGTGCAACTCTTTACATACATATATATTCACATCAGCCCCTGCCCTCAAGAAGCTTACAATCTAAGGCCCCTAATTTCATATTCATTTAGACGGGCGCTAATTAACCTAGCAGCTTGTCTTTGGAGTATGGCAGGAAACCTGACTACCTGGAGGAAACCCACAGACACCGGGAGAACATGCAAACTCCTTGCAGGTACTGTGGCTGGGATTCGAACCAATATCCCCTGTGCAGGTAGGCAGAGGGTGCTAATCACTAAAGCTGGCTGTACATGTGTAGATTTTTGGACTAGAATATTTGTGCGAAAAGTCGTATGAGAAGTCTTTGCACATTGGAAGAATGGACGAATGTCGTCCGAAAGTTGTCTCTTGCTTTTTAACATTTGATGATTTTAAAATGAATGTAGTTTCTGAATGATAAACACATACTGTCTGAAACTTTGGAGACGTTTTTACTTTTTTTTTTTTTTTTTTTCCCCCCCCCATCGCTGCAGTCAAAAATGAACATCGGTTTGACCCCAAAAACGATTAGAAAATCAAATGAATGTTCTTAAAACATTAAAAAATCTATACTGCCCAGTAGACCCATGTATAATAGATATTGGGCTGGCAGCTGCAAAACAGATTTTTAAAAATGACATCAATTATGACTTCTATATTTGTCCATGTGTTTTTATTGTATGAGGTTACTACAGGGTTACCCCATGCTTGTACTTTAATTCTTTTTTTGTTATGAAATAAATTACATTTTTAGTATGGAGGGTTGAGTGCTGGAATTTTTTGATGGTGTTGTGTAGTTTATACAGCAGTGCTGGTTTGTCTCTACTTGGGAGATTTCAGGTAAGGGCTAGGCTCCACTTGCCTTGAGCACAGCTGTGAAAATTTAATGAATTGGGGGCTGTGAACCAAACAAAAACCTTTTGTGAGTTAGTGATGCGTAACTTTTTCTTGGAGAACCTAGTAAAGAGGTTTCCAGGAGAAAAAAAAAAGTCCTGTTTGTGGACCTCCCCTTATTCAGCTTCTGTGATTTGCTTTGACTATGAGCCGGACTTAACAACAGATCTTACTTGCATCGCGTATATACCTGCACAGCTGTACAAAATAGCGTAGAACCCTTTAAACTGCTCGAGCGTTAGATTAAAGCACTGTAATCGACAGATGGGTAACCTGCTGTTTAGGAGGTGGCAGATAGGGGAGGGATTTATTGCTTTATGGAGGGTTCACAAGCAAATAGGGGATTTCCGGTTTTCCCTGGAAATTCCCTCTTAAGGGTACCTGTCCACTGGCATTTACATTTGTACAGACTGATTGGCATGGCTCTCTGCAACTATGTAAAGGAAGTTTGTATTTAGGTAAGCAGGTAATGGAGTATGACATGTCCTATGACCTCATTTCAGTGGTTCATTTTTATTTTTTTTTTTTAATGTACTTTTAGTCTACTCAGTCAGTAAACTGCATAGAATGCCAGATGAGCCTGCAGACTCTCATTCAGCCTTATGAACAAAAATAAGTGCCAGTATGCTAGGATTGTGATGAGATAATCCTGTTTTATGCTTACTAGCCCATCAAAACCCTGTGTTCACCAATAATGCAGTTGAACTAGAATGGAAAGGAGAATTGTAATGCATACCATGATCCATTTGTTTGGGACAGCATTGATAATGATGATAGGCTTTATTTAAATGTCCTTGTAAGAAATTAATGCTTACTCTGCATAACCTGCCAGTTCACTATTGCTTCTGTTCTATTAGATCCCAATCAAATGCAGTCTTTTGCCCATTCTCTGAAGTAAAGCTATGATCCAGTATAGGAGTAGCTCTAATATTGTGAGGAGAACTGTGCATCATCCTAGATACATGCACTGTAAGTACCTCAAATGATCCAATGTTGCGCAATGATCTTGCTGTGCAGTGCTGTGTATTACACCAATATGTTAATGTGGATTATCGGGTAAGTATGTAGGATTAGTTGCAGGAAGTTTTTTCTTGTCAGTCTTCTAGCTTTATTTTAAAATTGCAGATCTTGTGTTGATTTTACAGTACAGCTCAGTTGGTGACATACTGTGATGATCCCATTAGGTTGCTGCTTTATATGTCTTTTCCATATAGTTGAACTTAAACCTGTACATTCTAGAACTGCAATGTCATTTCAACTAGTCTCTGATGGCTTTTTTTTTTTTTTTTGTTATATACCAGTGTTTTGTTTCTCCTCCACCTCCTACTTGACTTGGAAATAGGCAGAGAAATTATTCTTTGTGCAGTTTTGTATGACGATATGTCTTTATAAATTTTGAGACTTGCCATGTTCCGATAAAATTCACATGACATTTATGACCGTTGAAATTGGAGGCTGTCAATCTAATTCCAGGTCTTAATATATCTATATAGTTGGAAAGAGAACTATTTAATCCTCAATGCCTTCCCAGATCTTCCACCTTAGGTTTTGCTGCAAAGTACCTCAGGTAAGCACAACCTAAGGAAACATATGCATTATATCAATGATGTTGTCCCGTTGAGGTTTGTGCTTGTTTATGCTGAAATCTGCTCCATTAACATGCATTTGGACTGCATATTGATGCCATTTATTAGGGAGGTGTCTTGTTTGTTTTTTTTTTTTTTTTATTTTTTTCCTCTATTAAGCAAATTATGTGTTCCTTAGTTTGCACACAATTATTGCTTTTGTTTTCCTGAACAGTTTTAATATTGTACAAAATAGAAAGGACCTATGTCTTTTCTGCTATGGCTTTGTCCTTAAAGTTTAATTAC